GGGTTGGGCTCGATGCCACGAGCGCAGATGATGTAGCCTAGGAGTATACCGGATGGAACTCCAAAGATGCACATTGAAGGGTTCAGCTTCCATCGGTACCTTTTTAGGTTGGCAAACGTTTCCTCGAGGTCGGAGATAGGATTGTCGGTGGTCTTGGACTTGACGACCACATCGCCGATGTAAGCTTTGACGTTGTGACTGATCTGTTGATCGAGGCACATCTGGATGGCCCTTTGGTAGGTTGCTCTGGTGTTCTTGAGTCCGAAGGACATGGTGGAATAGCAGTACGCACCGAAAGGCATGATGAACGATGTCTTGATCTGGTCTTCTTCCTTGAGGGAAATCTGGTGACAGCCGGAGTAACAGTCGAGGAAGGAGAGCAGTTCGTAGCTGGCGGTGGAGTCTACAACCTCATCTATCCAAGGCAGACCGAAGGGGTCTTTAGGGCAGTGTTTGTTAAGATCAGTGTAATCAACGCACATTCTCCATTCTTTATTCTTTTTTTGAACGAGAACAAGGTTTGCTAACCACTCAGGATGATACACTTCTTTTATAAATCTGGCAGCTAGGAGCCATTTTATTTCTACCCTAATAGTCACCTTCTTGTCTGGCGCGAATCATCGGAGTTTTTGCTTGATTGGTTTGGCGGTCGATGAGACATTCAAGGAGTGCTCGATCTTCTCTCGTGGTACCCTCGTCATGTCTGTAGGTTTCTAAGCAGACACGTCGACGTTGGCACGTAGGAAGGAGACGAGCGCGCTTTCCTATTTGAGGTCGAGGTGAGCCCCAATCTTCACTGTCTTGGAGGGGTCATCGAGGCCGAGGCTGACCTTCTTGGTTTCCTTGGACTTGGCGGAGGCACGAGGAGGCTCTAGCGATGGGATCTCCAGGCCATCGGTGGGCACCGTCTTGGCGTCGGTGACCACACTAGCCATCTAGATGGAGAGGTCGGTGGCTTCGGCGAGAGCAAGGCTCTCTGTCTTGTAGGTGTAGATGATGGAGAGGTTGGCCCATAGGGCTAGGACTCCTGCAGGCGAAGGCATCTTTAGCACTAGATAAACGTAGTGCGGTACAGCCATGAACTTGGCCAGAGCTGGCCAACCAAGTATGGCGTGGTAGGTGGTGTTGAAGTCGGTGATGTAGAAGTTGATATGCTCGACGCGGTAGTTGCTTGTCATGTCGAACTATACTGGTAGGGTGATCTCTCCAAGTGGTTTGGATGCCCTGCCAGGTACCACACCCCAGAAGGAGGAGTCAGAGGGTGTGAGATCTGTTATCCTAAGGCCCAGCTCCTTTAGGGCTTTGGCGAAGAGGAGGTTCAAAGCGCTCCCACTATCGACGAGCACTTTTCTGAAAAGCACTTTCTGGACGGTTGCATCAAGGACGAGTGGGAAACACCTTGTGTAGGGGATGCCCGCCCACTGGTCGGCCCTGCTGAAGGTGATAGGGACGTCGGACCAAGATAGCTAGGGTTGGTGGCGGCGTCTTTTGTAGTGACGGCGAGCACCCAGCGAGCGACAAGCTTCGTTCTCTTCTGCTCTCGGTGGAGGCGAGGCCCCCGAAGACAGTGGTGAGCACCTTGTCATGATCCTAGAAGGCATTGTTGTTGCCCCCAGGTGGTCGGTGGCCTCCAACTCCGTCATTGTTGTCGTCGTTCGACTTTTTGGCCAGAACTCCTTAGCCAAGCCGAGGCAGTCCTTCATCTTATGCTTGGCATTCTTATGGAGAGGGCACGGGCCATTGAGGATCTTCTTGTACTACTCGTCGTAGTTGCGCTTGGCGCGAGGTTCATCAACGGCGGCGACGATTTGGTCTGGTCGGCGGCAGTGATATTGACTAGACTTGGATCATTCTGGCCGATCACGGCCACTATACCGCTGGTGACTGCGGTCGTCGTAGCGGCGGTCACTGTGGCGCCGGTCGTCGAGGCGATCGTCGTTGCGGCGAGTTGGGCGATGAGTGCCCGCATCCTCATTGAAGCGCACCTCAGCTTCCTCAATGTCGGCGTAATGGTTGGTGGTTGTGATCATCTCACCGATCCCCATGGGTGGCTTGCGGTTGAACTTGGAGCAAAGCTCACGATGATGGAGTCCTCGGATGAAGGCGGTGATGACCTCAGCTTCCGTGATGTTGGGAATAGAATTCCTCATCTCAAAAAAGTATCTGATGTAGCTACGGAGGAGCTCGGACGGCTTCTAATAGATGCGGTTTAGATCATGCTTGGTGCTCGGCCAAGTACATGTAGCCATATAGTTGTCGGTGAAGACTTTTTTTAGCTCTTCCCAGGATCCGATGGAGTCCGAGGCAAGGCTTGTGAACCAGTTCATGGCGGTTGGCCTGAGCATGATGTTAAAATAATTCACCATGACACTGGTATCTCTTTCGGCGGTGCGCACAGCAGTGGCGTAAGCCTGTAGCCACTGTGTGGGGTTCATCCTTCCCTCGTAGGGCTCGACACCAGTGGTTTTGAAACCATGGGGCCACTAGAGTGTTCAGAGTGTCCTTGTAAAAGCTGGAGGCCCTTCAGGGTTGTTAGCGCCATGATCTGTAGCGTTGATGGCGTTGAGCGGCTCGAGAGTTGAGTTCGGGTTACCGTACTCTTGCTCATACTCTTGGCGGCGGCGTACTTCTTCATGATGACCGAAGCGGCGCTCGTCGATACGTCGTCGTGTGTCTCGGAGATTATTGAGGTGCACTCGGACGTCCTGGTCGACCTCCTGGTCGTGTTGGCAGTGATGTTCGATGCGGTTGCCCCTAGCTTCCCCCTAGAGGGGTTGCCTGTCGTCGCGGTGCTGGTCAGTGAAGCAACTTGGGCAACGATCGGATCTTGGCGCGGCTGATCGGCGAATCGAGCTGGTGGAGTATGAAGGTCTCTGATCCTGGCAGATCTCGTTGACCTAGCAGTGCGCCGCTTTAAGCATGGCGGTGACCTTGGCGATTTCCGGTGTCTGTGGGAGCTGGGCGAGCTCGTTGGCAACCATGGCTAGGTTGGCGCTTGGGGTCTTATAGACGTCGTGGCCGTCAACACGAACAAACTCGTCGTCGAGGTTGCGTTGGAGTTGGCGTGGCCTTCCTTGCGAGTCAAGCTGAGCCTCGGCCCTCGCAAGGGCAGCCTTGTTTGCTCGGCGCTAAGCACGGTTGACGTTCCTATTGACACGGGCAGCACGGTCCTCCTCGGTTTCCCCTTCCCGCGGGGGCTGTCGACGCTGACGTTGAAGATTGTGCCACCACGGAAAGGAGGGAGCGGAAGTAGTTCGGTGGCAGTCTCGGTGACAGTCTCCGTAGAGCCCTGGGACTCAGAGTCTGGATTCTCCTCCAAGATGGTTTGGAGGGATGCTCCAGGGCGTCGGACGACGTGCAGCATGTTGATGGTCGGCGGAGGCTGGTCGGCGATCTGGTCGGCGGGAGGTTGGACATCTCCAACCTGATCGGCGAACTTGCCCCTTAGGGCATCTTGGTAGGTGGCGTTGATGTTGGAAAGCCCGAAGGGCAGAGCCGCAACCCCAGGAGATTCCCGAGCAGCCTTCGATAGATCTGGATCGGAGGGTGGTCGGTGCTGAACCAGAGTGGTCAGAGCCGAGTCGGCGATGGAGAGGCAAACGGCGAGCTTCTGGGCGACCTGATCGATGGATGCGATCAGATTGTCGTTGTGGATTTACCTCCTCTGGTAGCGGGGAAGCGGGCGGCGAGTTGTCGATGAAGGCGACCTCGGAGGTGGTTCCGAGATCGGACCTACAGTCGCAGGTGTTGGGGTGATCGGCGTAGTATCGATCTGCATCGGCTCGATGAGCTCTCCGACTCCATTAGCGTTGATGATCCAGGAGATCGATCCGACCGTGAAGATCTGGCCGGGCTACGGGAGGGACGAAGAGCCTGCGGAAAATATCATCTTGTTCGACATAGAAACAGCACGCACACCCCTACCTAGCGCGCCAACTGTCGACAGAATATCATCGGCAGTCCTCCGAGGGGTATCCCACAAAGGTAGATTGATCGGCAGAGATGCATGTAATCGAGAACAAGAAGGCAACAGAGACACACGAGTTAGACAGGTTCAGGCCGTCAGTATGATGTAATACCCTACTCCTGTGGTCTGTTGGATTGTATGGGCTATCGTATGATATTGCGTGAGTTTAGAGAGGGTCCCTGCCCACCTTATATAGTCCGGGGGGCAGGGTTACAAGTCGGTTAGATCTAGGAGATAACCGGAAAGTAATAACAGATTACAGGGACCATGGGATCAAACGTATCCTAACAGATCTCGTAGTATCTTCAGGATATCTTCCCGGTGTCTTGCGGGAGACGCCGAGCAGCGTCGTGCCCCGCAAGGCTTCGTCTTGTGGGCTGGGCCGTCCATGGGGCGCAGCCCATGTGGTCTGCCGTGGGTATTTCGGGGTCGTAGCCCCACATCCACCAAATTTTTTCGACCCAGAAAATACAACATCTAGAGGTATATTCCATATCCATAGATTTGCTTATCCCAGTGACACAACCAACCAAACGCTGCATATCCATGGATAATCATATCCCATCTATGTATATCTAAGCAAGCAAGCAAACACCCACCCACCCACCTGGTGCATAATTAATATACCAATAATCCATGTAAACAAAACAGTTTGTTTCAGAGTTGCACGACAATCAAACGCTTGTACATTATCCCAAATTATAAGACGTTTGACTTTTTTGACCTCAATTTGACCACTCATCTTATTCAAAAAATTTGTGTAAATATAGCCAAATTTAAGTCATTTTTGAAGAACTTTTATTAATAAAGCAAGCCACGACAAAAAAGTGATATTTTGCATAAATTTTTGAATAAGACGAGTGATCAAACTTAGTGTCAAAAATATGAAATATCTTATAATTTAGAATCGAGGAAGTACTATGTATTATTATTGTTTACACAACCACACTGATCTCTCCATCACCCACCAAACCAAAGGGACAAAATCACACGCCACTGGCAGAAACACCGTGCAAAGACAGCTACCAGTTGCCTAGTTCTTGGGCAGGAGCACGTTGCGAACCAGGTCATCAAAATTCCGGTGAGACGTGCCCCCGGGCTTGGCCACCTCGATCGCGATGTCCCTCCATTCCATCGCCTTTCTCCTCATCTCCTTCCCCTGCTCCCCCTCCATGAGCTCAGTGATGAGGCTCTCCACGGCGTCGCGGCGGACGTTGCTGTCGATCTCCATCCCGACGCCCCACTCCTTGCACTGGTACCGGCAGTTGGTCTGCTGGTCGGCGAAGAAGGGCCAGCTTATGACCGGCACGCCGCCGCACATGGCCTCCAGCGTGGAGTTCCAGCCGCTGTGCGTGAGGAACGCGGCCACGGCAGGGTGGTCCAGCACCGCCTGCTGCGGGCACCAGCTGGCCATGAGCCCGCGGTCGGCCGTCGCGGCCAGGAACTCCGGGGGCAGCACGGCGGTGTCGCCCTTGACGAGGTCGCGCCGGATGATCCACAGGAACGGCCTGCCGCTGTTGGCCAGCCCCCACGCGAACTCCACCAACTGCTCGTTGGTCATCACGGTGATGCTGCCGAAGTTGACGTAGACGACGGAGCCCGGGTCCCGGCCGTCCAGCCACCGCAGGCACTCCTCCTGCTCCTTCCACAGGCTGAGGCTGATGGAGGAGCGCGGGGTGGGCGGGTCCTCGCGCGCCAGCAGCGGCAGCGGGCCCAGCGTGTACACCTTGCGCGCCAGGCCCAGCGACTCCATGGCCGCCACCGCCTCGCCCTCGAGCTCGTCCAAGGTGTTGATGATCACCGCCGACGCGCCCGCCGAGCGCCCCGTCTCCTGGAGGACGTAGCCCACCATGTACTCGTCCGGATCCGTGGTGCGGATGAAGCTCGGGAAGTCCCGGAACCTCATGTTCCGCAGCCCCGGCACGTCCTCCACCGGCGTGTCAAGGAATCCGTTCGTTAGCTGCTCCACGCCTGCGCATGTAAACAACAAGATGAGATGACGATCACCATAATAACGTGGACGAGGCAACTGGCACTGGCTGGCAGAAAAGTTTGACTCGTTGGATTGGAGTCAAAAAGGAAGGGGAGAGAGAGCACACGAACTTTTGAGCGGGGCGAGGCCACGGCTCTTGAGGAGGCGGTAGTGGTGGTAGCCGAGGAAGCTGATGGCGCTGGCGGTCCAGAGCTGGACGTAGGGAAGGCCGAGCTCCTTGGCGGCGTCGATGGAGAAGCCCATGACGACGTCGGAGACGACGCAGGTGACGGGCGGGTGGCCGCCCGTGGCCGCGGGGTCGTTGAGGTCGGCGAGCAGGCGGCGGAAGGGCCCGAGGCAGGTCTCCGTGGTGGACTTGCACAGCGACGGGATGTCCTGCGTGACGTCATCGTCCTCCGGCGGCGGCAGGCCGTCGGGGATGGTGGCGAAGCGGAAGCCAGGGAGGCCGGCCACGGCCGCCGCGCCGTGGGTCCGGACGAGGCGCGCCTGGTTGTACTCGGTGTTGACGAAGGTGACGTGGAAGCCCTGGGCGTGGAGCAGCTTGGCCACGTTGAGCATCGGGGTGATGTGGCCCTGCGCCGGGTACGGCAGGCACACGGCGTGCGGCTGCGGCTGCTGCTGCTGCTGCGCGGCGCTGCCGAGAGAACCCATGGTATGGTTGGTGTCTTGGTGATCGAGATCTCCGTGTGTGTGTGTCGTGGCCTGTGGGTGTTGGCTTAGCACTGGTGCTCCCCGCTGCGTTACACGGCGAGGCTGCTCTGTGTTTGCTTGAGCTGGTTTCTGTGTGATTTTTGTTGATGGTTGGGTCAGCATGGGCGGGGCTATTTATTGGCGTCGTTGGGATTTCAGCAATAAATAAACAATGTGGTGATGGTGGCCGACTGGCCGTGGACAATCAAGGGAGCACGGGAACGCGATAGCGTCTTGCAACTGGGTTAGGGGCTCCATCGTGGGTGGAGGCCCGCGGGTCGCCGCTCGCCATAGCAGCCTCTTCTGGTCAGCGGAAAGCGACACCCGGGCGTGATCTTTTGCGCACCAGCGTGATGTCGGTACGCGCGCAACGGCGCAGGGGCGATTAAGGCGGCTCGGCGTCAGCGATGCCATCAGGCATGCGGCATGCGCGCTGCGTGCCAGCCGCGTCCGCGCGGAACGGCAGGTACGCCATGCTGCGCTGAGCCTGTACATACGCGCCGGTGCGGGGTCGGCGCACGCTGCCACGTTAGGAACGCGGCGTGTTCCTACTATACTTTCCAAAGTATGGCAGGTGTCCGGTGTGTATATAGTTATGTTCTCCGGCATTCTGGCAAGCCGTCACCTAATCGGATGCGGGCGACGGTGACCTTGCTGAGCTGTGCAAACGTTTGCGACTTTTTTTCCCTTTTGGGATAAGGATTCAATGCTCTATGATATGATTGGAGACTTAGACTCGATCTCATTTCGAACTTTGTACGTGTGCTTTCGTAGTTCCTGCTGAAATTAACTCGTCCTCGATAACTGTTACCATTTCTATAGCACAACTCTAGAACAATGCTATGTAAAATGGTCTAAACTTTGGCTAAATTAAAGATACTAATATTCATGAAATATATTCTTAAAGTTATTTATCTAGAGACATACGTTGTTGACAATATTTTACACATATGAACTTAGTTAATATATCAAAATATTTTACTTTAACCAGTCTTCAGTTTTTTTTTGGATGGAGAGAATACAGCAAGTCACAACTAGAGCCATCGTATCTGTCAACTTGAGTGCTTCAGCCTGCACGCACGTAAGAGGGTTGATTCATACCGAAAGACCTGGATTCTCTAGATATGTTGACGTGGAAAAATATACTCTCTCTGTCCTAAATAAAAGACAATTGTAGCTTTAGGATAAGCAGAACTTCTTTAAGATTGATCTAAGCTTATAGCAAATAATATCAATATTTATATTTTCAAACAAGTTTATTATAAAAATATATTTAATAACTAACTTAATAATACTTATTTGATATCCTAGATATTAGTGTTTTTTTATATGGCCCTGTTCGTTTGTTGTCGGGGACCAATACTATGGTACTCAAAGAGGAGGAGCTAATAATCATCGACATTGATTCATCGGAGCAGTCAAGAGCGTGACTACAGCTCCAACCGACCCCAGGTGCGCAAGGTTCCGCCTCGCCTGACCTCTGAGGGCGGACTCCGCTTTGGCCGACCTTTGGGGGCGGGCTCCGCCTCGTCCAACACCAAGGCTGCGGGCTCTGCCTCGTCCGACCTCTGAGATAGGTCTCCTGTGATAGAACCGTCCGAAATAACGTACTTGCGGAGGCGATCGTCTTTCATCAGACACTAAGCACCCCGAAAGCAAGCTACAGCGAGCGGTTCCGTCGGGCACACCCAAAGGGAGAGCCCGAAATATCCATATTTTTTTTCAAGAATTCAATAATGAGAACGAGTTACAATACTTAATTCATTTCATACATCCAGAGTTCCTATAAATTCATTATTACATCGCCAAATTCAGAGTGCGGAATATTAAACAGCGGAATAAAAATACACATCTATCGATAATAAATAAGGATCCGTCTGTGCCCACCAGAAGAATCCTTCACACAACTGCTACTTCCTCAAACATTACCTGCAACAGGGGTAAATAAACCCTGAGTACATAATGTACTCGCAAGACTTATCCGACTAGTGGGAATACTTCCCCGACTCCAATGAATATGATAAGCTTTATGATTTGTTGGGTTTCTTTTTATAGAAAGCAATACTAATAGTGAATCTTTATTTAAGTTATTATTAGCAGTCATGATTAATTCATCATCTAGCCATTCTATGTAAGCACATGTTCTACTTTCAAGCAAGTGTTGAGCAATCAGTTTCATTTCATCACCTTTCATCTTTCAGTTCTTACTACGGTGCTAGACTGTAGACAAGCCGTAACAGATCGTCCGGCGATTCGCGAATCAATGCCCCCAGCTGGGTACTGAAAACACACGCCCCGCTTGTACCCCAGGCACAAGCAGGACCAATCAATCACCCTCCTGTCAAAGGGTCTAGGTCCCCGTCCAAACTTGGACTCCAAGCCCCGCTCCCGAGTCCCGGACTCAGTGCGGTGCAAGGACGTCCACCATCCTCGTCTCCAATCAGTCTGTCCAAAAAGAGCCGGAACTCACGACAAGAGAGCAACAAGTCTTCCCTGCGCCTATACCCAAGTATGTGCTCGGGATAATAAATCTGTGACTTGCCTAGAGCCCAATGCAACGGCCGATCCTTAACCGACACAGATAGGGCAAAAGTGTAACCAACCTACGCCATATTGGCCGCAGGACACAACCTCTTACACCCACCAATACCCAAACCATATTCCTGCCCGGTCACCATTTTTTCTTTCCACCATTTTATCATGAGTGATCATAATTTTCACCTGTTGTGAGTAACGGCAGGTTACTCACGCTACCGAAATCCTAAGCATAGCAGCTACTCGGCATATACTAGTAGGACTCATAGGTAGATATATATATGCATGTAGTTTTCATAAAATGCCTGTAACGTAAATGCACATCATATATATATTCAATAATCATTCAAAAATAGGGGTTATGCACCAGGCTTGCCTTGGGCTGGCGGTGGGTCAACAAAGTCAGCAACGAACGGTCTCGGGGCTCCCTCCTGCATGAGGATCTCCTCCTCGTACTCCTCAATGACCTCCTCATAGTCCTGTTCATCCGCAGGCACGAACTCTACCAATTCGTGATCTACATGCATGAAATGATGATGCAACAGTTAGTAATACGGCAACAGCAACTCTTAAAATAAAAATACATCTATCAAGCTACCAAGCTAGTTCTACCGACTAAGGTGCTAAGTTGCCTACTGTTACCGCTAACAAATATGAAGCATGACATATATTATCTTAGCAGCTAAAGGCATCCTTACTCTTAATATCAATTTACTCTATATATGATAAAACGAGGAGTACTAGCTACTCTATTTATCAACCTACTCTAGGGCTACAAAATTTACAGTGAGTACATCATAATCTAATGAACCTACTATAAAAATTTTATGGCTAAAGCTATCATCAATCTGTCACAAAAATTCCTACAAATATTAAGCTAAATAATACTAAGCTTTCTAAATCGAATTTGTGAACCTATCATTATCACAGCCAACTGTAAACTAACTACACTAACAGATAGGTAGCATTTTTGTGAATCTAACAAATTTTGTTTCATTATTTTTAGACATCTATAGAATTTACTATTATTTTTCAAAGTTCGGCTCAAAACTAAATTGAATAAACATTCATAATTTCACTGGAAATTGAAAAACCGAATTCCACCCGCACGGCCCGCGAGCGAGCGGCTCGGCCCACTCCAGCGCCCCGCGCGCGCACGCAGCACACCGATGTGGCCCACGCGCGACAGTGGCCCAACACGGGGAGACCCACGCGCGCTCCGACGATTATGCAAAAGAGACCCCGGCTTTCAACCAAATGAACCCGCAGTCCTTTCTAATATTTCACTCTCTCTCTGACGCTCGCACTTAACCCCTGGTTCACTTCGAATACCTGTTTCAAGGTCCCTAGTCGGAAGTTAACAGAGGCTGTGGCATCTCCGGCCAAATGCCGACAAGCACGGACCTCCTCGGCAGCAATCCTCACCACCGCGACACTCCTCATCACAAGCGCATTCGATAGAGGTAATAAACACCACGATTGGTGCCGCACAGAGGCGTGGCCACGCACCACGGTGGGGTTTGGCCGCGGTGACACCGGCGCCGGTGAATTAACCTAGCCTAATGCCTCTACCGCTACCCTAGGAGCCAAGGTACCTCACCAGATACGTGAAGGACGGCCTAGACGAAGTCGCGGGGCTCAGCAGGGTGGTTGGCCATGAGAGCGAGGTTGCTCTGGTTCATGGCAAGCGCGGCAACGGCGTCCCAGGTGACCTGCTGCTCCACCAGCAAAACTGCTACACGGGCGAGGCAACCAAGTCAACACGACACAAAAGCACTGCTCAATTGAAACAACGGAGCACAGAGCGACGCCCTGGCCGAGCACCCGCCTCGACGGTCATGGTGGGCCGCCATGAGGAAAATGCTCCGCATTAGCTCACTAGAGGACGAAAACTCGTTGGGTCGACTCCAAATGCGAGCTAACTACCAGAGCTAGTTGGGTGCACAATTAATGGAAAGGACGTGGACTACGCAAGGCTAATTAGATGGACTACTCAACTCGGTCTTATGGTGGCCGGCGATGGAGAAAACTCAAATTGACGCCCCGACATCGTACGGCCGCAACAGTGGTAGGCTTGGCGCGACGCTAGACTCCAATCAAGCTCCAGACGCGCGCAATTACGAGGATAGGACCAAGCTCCAGACGCTGGCACCGGCCAGAAACGTGCCAAGCATGCATTTTAAAGCGTTCCAAAAATCAAACTCGATGATTCAAATGCCAAACCAGTTTTTCTATACTCAAAAAGGTATGTTAAACTACTGAAACAAACCCTAGTACCGCACCGTTACTTAACCCAAATCTCCTACAAAAATTGTCGAACTTAGATTCATCGAACCATCTTCCGACTTAAGAAAAATGACTAAGTTTTTGCTCGGATTCGCGTCAACTTCGATTTTCAAGCTACCAACCATGCTAGCTAGGGTGTT